AGGCAGGAGACTCGCTTGAGCCCAGGAGTTGGAGGTTGCTGTGAGCGTGATGCCATGGCACTCTACCCAGGGGGATAGCTTGAGGCTCCGTCTCAAAATAAATAAATAAATAAATAAATGAGACTCTGTCTCTACCAAAAAAAAAAAGATAGAAGAATTAAAATATGTTAGCTTGTTATCACAAAGTATATACAAGTAAAATATACCATGTTTAAAAAATGCATTAGGAAGCAAGAATTTAATGCATATCCTCTTAAGTTTGTCACAGTCAGTGGTGTTTTCATAATAAGGGCTCCCAGGAGCAAACTACAAGTAAGAGTCTTTTTTTTAAGACAGAGTCTCACTCTGTTTCCCAGGCTAAAGTGACATGGTGTCAGTCGAGCTCATAGCAACCTCAAACTCCTGTGCTCAGGCAACTCCTGCCTCAACCACCCAAGTAGCTAGGACTACAGGTACACACCATGACGTCCAGCTAGTTTTTCAATTTTTTATTAGAGATGGGGTCTTACTTTTGTTCAGGCTGGTCTCAAACTCCTGAGCTCAAGCAATCCTCCTGCCTCAGTCTCCCAGAGTGCTAGGATTATAGGCATGAGCCACCATGCCTAGCCCCAAGTAAACATTTGTTAGTCAAATCAAATTATGTTTGAAAATATCATGCCCTTAATTCTTCTTTTTTTTTCCTGAGACAGAATCTCACTCTTTTACCTTGGCTAGAGTGCAGTGGCATCATCATAGTTCACTGCAACATCAAGTTCTGGGCTCAAGCTATTCTCCTACCTCAGTGGTCTGAGTAGCTGGAACTACATGTGCATGACACCATACCTGGCTAATTTTTTTCTAGTTTTTTGGTAGAGAGAGGATCTCACTCTTGCTCAGGCCAGTCTGGAACTCCTGAGCTTAATTGATGCTCCTACCTCTGCCTCCTGGAGTGCTGGGATTATAGGCATGAGCCACTGCACCAGACCCTAATTCTTGAAAATGTTAGATTTAGTTGAAAATGTTGAAATAGTGTGTACATAGGGCCAGGCACGGTGGCTTACACCTATAATATAGTACTCTGGAAGGCCAAGGCGGGTGGATTATCTGAACTCACAGGTTCAAGACCACCCTGAGCCAGAGCAAGACCTTGTCTCTAAAAATACATTGTGGCAGGCACTGTATTCCCAGCTACTTGGGAGGCTGAGGCAAGAGAATCTCTTGAGCCCAAGTTTGAGGTTGCAAATTATGACACCATAGCACTCTACTGAGAACAACAAAGTGAGACTCTGTCTCAAAAAAAAAAAAAAAAGAAAAGAAAAGAAAAGAAATGGTGTATGCAGCATATGTCATTTTATCAACACATTATATATTTGATAAGTTCACTTTTTCAAGTGGTATCATTTTTTAAAATTTCGTACTTATGACCTTTCAATTGCCAAAATCATACTTTATTTTTTAATTTATATATTTAGATTTCAAGATACTATTTCCTTCAGCATTACCAAAATAATTGTTCCTGAAATGTCTTGTTAAAATGGGCAATAAAATGATTTTATTTTTTTCTGTTACTAAACAATAGTGTGGCAAGAAATTCACCAGTTTGAAAAAAATGAAGCCCCTCCTTATAATACCACTTTGTAAATTACAGTCTTATTTTTCTTTCAGATTGGTTTTCCTCCCTTGCTTAGTATTGTTAGCAGAATGAATCAGGTAAAATTTATATAATAACAATATGTGTAGTATGCATTCTTTTGTTTGTAACGTATGAAAACGTACTTGAATACATTTACTGGATGCTTATAGTACGCAAGACGTTGTCCTAAGCTCTTCAGTGATTCTTATTTAATCCTTACTATATAACCCTATATTGGGGAGTTATTATTAATACCCACTTTTTGTAGATAAGGAGACATAATTTGAGATAAAGTAACTTGTAGGTGGTTTTTCCACAAGTAAATAGCACCACTGGGATTCGGTGCCTGGTAGATTTAACTCCAGAGCTAATACGTTTTTTTTTTTGAGACAGAGCCTCAATCCGTCACCCTGGGTAGAGTGCTGTGGCATCACAGCTCATAGCAACTTACAACTCCTGGGCTCAAACCAGTCTCCTGCCTCTGCCTCCCAAGTAGCTGGGACTACAGGCACCCATCTCAGTGCCCGGCTATTTTTTGGTTGTAGTTGTCATTGCTGTTTGGCAGGCTCAGGCTGGGTTCGAACCTGCCAGCTCTGGTGTATGTGGCTGGTGCCTTAGCTGCTTGAGCAACAGCCACCGAGCCTACAGCTCATACTCTTAATCATGGCACTAGAGTATTTAATTCTGTACATTTCAGTTATAAGTCTTAGATTTCAGGGTTTGAACTAAATACGGTCCTCTACTTGGAGTTGTTTGATTTAGAGTTTTTCAACTTTTAAGAGAGTTTATCAAGATGTAAATTCTTTGTAAGTTGAGGATTTCTAGTTCTAGATATCCTACATATTCCATTAAAATTGAAATACTAAGTTTTTGGATCAAAAGGGGAGAATTATGGAGTTCGGTTCTTCAGTCTTCTAGGAATGGGCACTTTTTGTTATCTATTTAAAAAGCAAATAAAAACTTTCTTTTTGCCTACACAATCATTGGGTACCTTGGAAGATAATTTTTTTTTTTTGTAGAGACACAGTTTTACTTTATTACCATCGGTAGAGTGCCGTGGCGTCACACAGCTCCCAGCAGCCTCCAACTCCTGGGCTTAAGTGATTCTCTTGCCTCAGCCTCCCGAGTAGCTGGGACTACAGGCGCCGGCCACAATGCCCAGCTATTTTCTGGTTGCAGTTCGGCCGAGGCTGGGTTTGAACCCCATACCCTTGGTATATGAGGCCAGCCCTACTCACAGGTGCCACCCAATTTTTTTTGTGTGTGTGTGTGAGAATCATACTCTGTTGGAACAGGCTGACAGTTTTACTTAAGCATTTGATTAAGATACTGTAGCAGTCACATGAAATTCCATCAGTGTAATTTTTCTTTATAAGCATCCAACCATATGCAAGTAAACCAGAGAATATTTTCAAGACTTTGATAAATTCTGTCTAATTAAAACAGATTTTTCCCTAGCTAATTTTCTGTTTAGAGTTATACTTTGATTTAATTTGAATTGTGAAATAAACTGAAAGTTGGGGGGGGGTTTTGTTTTTGTTTTTTTTTTTGAGACAGAGTCTCAAACTGTCACCCTGGGTAGAGTGCTGTGGCGTCACAGCTCACAGCAACCTCAAACTCTTGGGCTTAAGTGATTCTCTGGCCTCAGCCTCTCAAGTAGCTAGGACTACAGGCACCTGCCATAATGCCTAGCTGTTTTTGTTGTTGTTGTCATTGTTGTTTTAGGTGGCCTAGGCCGGGTTCGAACCCATCAGCCTCAGTGTATGTGGCCAGTGCCCTACCCACTGAGCTACGGGCATCACCTAAACTGAAGGTTTTTATACAAATACTTCTTTTTTTAACTGCATGTGAAGTTTTTCAGGTGGTTACGAACTAAATACTGGGATTCAAGATGGGAGAGAGGAGGTAGGGCAATTGGCGGGATCTCACCTAATGTACACAATTAAGCCCTGGGCGAAGGGCTTAACTACAGCTTGAACTTCACCTTAGAGTTGAAAACAATGTAACCTAAACATTTGTACCTTCATAGTAATCTGAAAAAAAAAATACTAGAATTCAAGGTATTACTTGATATTTGAGGGTATAAAAATATTTGTTTTCAAAGCCTCTTCTCGCTGAGTGAGCTGTCTAATCAAATTACTAATTAGAGTCACAGTTTTCTTTGGAGCTCTAAAGAATAGATCTTGTTAAACATTTGAGTTCTGAGTGAACTTAATAAAACTCATGTTGAACTCATGTTTTATTACTAATACAACTCTTCTTCCCTATCCCCTCCTTTTTTTTAGGCAACAGTAACTAGTGTCTTGGAATATCTGAGTAATTGGTTTGGAGAAAGAGACTTTACTCCAGAATTGGTAGTATTACGTCTTTTTATTTCCATAATGCAGGCAAAATTCTATATATAGTCATGTAAACGCCACATAAAGACGTTTCCGTCAGTATTAGATGGTACCTTTTCGTGTTTAGATGTATTTAGATACACAGATACTTACCACGGTGTTGACTGCCTGCAGTGCTCAGTGCAGTGACGTGCTTTACAGGTTTTGTAGCCTAGGAGCAATCAGCTACGTCATACAGCCTAGCCATATTACAGGCTGCACCACCTACGTTTGTGTAAGCACACTCTGTGATGATTGCACAAGGACGAAATCACGCACAGATGCATTTCTCAAAACAGAATGTATCTCCTTTGTTAAGCGACTCATTACTAGATTTATACATGCATGAGCTGTGACTATACCATATTTGTATTTTTATATTTGTGTGTGTATATATGTATAATTCAAAAGTATGTGTTTGTAGTGAAATAAGGAATTTATACCAGAATGTAAATCAATATATTGCTTCCTTCATTGAGAAAGTTTTGCTTTGAGAAAAAAAGTATCAGTGAAAGAATTTTGGATTTTTTTTTAGATAGAATCTCATTCTGTCACTCTGGGTAGAGTACCATCGCATCATAGCTTACAGCAACCTCAAACTCTTGGACTTGTGTAATCCTCTTGCCTTACCTTCCTGAGTAGCTGGGACTACCGGCGTGTGCCATAACACCTGGCTAGTTTTTCTGTGTCTAATAGAGACAGGGTCTCACTCTTGCCAGCTCATAGGTTCGGGACCAGCCCGAGCAAGAGCAAGACCCTGTCTCTAAAAATAGCCAGGCATTGTGGCAGCAGGTGCCTATAGTCCCAGCTACTTGGGAGGCTGAGACAAGTGAGGCAAGAGAATCACTTGAGCCCAAGAGTTTGAGCCTGCTGTAAGCTATGATGCCACCACACTCTACCAAAGGCAAATCAAATGAGACTGTCTCAAAAAAAAGAAAAAATTTTTTTTGAAAGTTTGTCAACAATGGTCCCATCTAATGTTACTTTATAATTTATTTTCCAGATTTAGCAAATTTGTTGTAGTATTTCAAATTAAACATTTTTTCTAATATCAATTAAACAATATTTTTCCCATGTGTTGGTGTATTAGCTACAACTTTGATAGATAACTTTGTGTTCTTAGGCTACTTGTTTATTAGAATCTATTGAATTTAATATTTGATATTAGTTCTTTTTTTTTTTTCATTTTTTATATCAGTGGTGTCTGAGACTGACCTTTTATTGATACAAGTACAATTGATGAAATCTTTTTGAAAAACTGTTGTACATATAAATAGGAAAACAGTGAATATTTTAAAAATTAGCAGATTTTTATCTGGATGATGAGACTGCAGGTTTATTCTTTCCTTTGTGCTAATGCTAATGAATTTTCACAATTTTTCTGCATTAGGTATTAGTTTTATAACTGAAAATTCCATTTGAAAAGGGAATAAGGATAAATTCACCCTGTCATGGTATTTATAGAAGTACTAAAACATTGTTTCATCTACAGTATAGTTAGTTTGTGTGGCCCCAAAGGGCAAAATTATAAAATGATTTATAAATCTGTCCAGTACGTAGAGGGCAAAGATAAAAATATATCTTAATTTTTATAATGATTTATTCACATGTTAATATAGTTTTCTGCTTATGAATGAGAACTTCATCTGTCAAGAAGTATCTGAAATGAAATCTTTGGGGGTTAGGGAATATTTGAAGTGCCCACTGTTCTTTGTCTAGGGTTACAAGGTGCAAGAAATTAATACCTTGCTATCCAAATGATACTTTGTTGTTTATATCCAAACATAGTAACAGTTAAATGTTCTGTGAATTTATTCATAGCAAATAACCAGACAAAACATTGGACTTTTCTTTTTCAAGACAAGGTCTCACTCCTGCTCACAGGCTAGAGTCCAGTGGTACAATCACAGCTTGCCTGCTTCCTGTAACTAAAGCGATCCTCTTGCCTCAGCTTGCTGAGCAGCTGGGACCATAGGTGTACACCACCACACCTGGCTAATTCTTAAAATTTTATAGAGATGAGGTCTTGCTGCATTGCCCAGGCTGGTCTCATACTCCTGGCCTCTGCCTCCCAAAATGCTAGAATTATAGGCATAAGCCCATGGACATTTTAAATTAGTTAAAACTTATTCAATATTTGTCTAATTATTACTTTTAAACATTTTATTTAGGGAAGATGGCTTTATGCTTTGTTGGCTTGTCTTGAAAAACCTTTATTACCTGAGGCTCATTCACTGATTCGGCAGCTTGCAAGAAGATGCTCTGAAGTGAGACTCTTAGTGGTAAGTCACAGCTTAACTATTTCAAATTGAAATCACTCACCTATTTATGTGATGGTAGACAAGGAAACACATGGAATATTTTATTAGTTGGGATTAGATTTGGCCACATAAGAGAAAGCCCAAAATAATAGTTGCTTAAATAAAATGGAAATGTGTCTGTCAGATAAAGGAAGTCACAGGGTAGTCAGGTAAGGTGTAGGATGGCAGTAACCCAGACCTTTCAGTTCTGCCACATGTGGCTTTCATCCTCAAGAACACCTCATAATCTGAGATGGCTGGTGGAGCTTCAGCCATTTTCATTTCATTATAGGCAGCTAGAAGGAAGAAGAAAAAGGCCATCTTTTTTAAGTGGCCTTCTCAGAGGTTCCATAAACATATCTTCTTATATAGCTTTGGCCAAAATTTAGTCCTGTGGCCATAAGGACCCGCATGAATTGTTTCCTTTTGGCTGATGGCTATCTGCCTAGCTAAGAATGAGCTTCTGTTGCTAAATAGGGCTGGGGGGACACAAGCAGAATAGTCGACTAACAGTCTCTGGCACAGTGATTGTTTGGAATTTCTCCATTCAGACCCTTCCTCTAACTCATGTCTTTAGCATTACTATATAAATTATATAAATTAATCTGATACCAAGTTAAACCTAGTTCTGAGTTTTTTTCTTTTCTCCTTTCCCAAAACATACATTTGTTCACCATTGACCATTCCAAAATATTTTCATTCATCTTCCATGACATGGCCCAGACTAACTTTTTTATATGGTTTGTGCTCCAAACAAAATGTACTTACTGTTAGGTTCAGGCAAGGTGGCTCATGCCTGTAATCCCAGCACTCTGGGAGGCTGAGGTGGGTGGATCACTTGAGCTAAGAAGTTCGAGACCAGCCTGAGCCAGAGTGAGACCTCATCTCTAAAAATAGCCAGGCATTGTGGCGGGTAACTAATCCCACCTATTTGGGAGGCTGAGGCAAGAGGATTACTTCACCCCAAGAGTTTGAGGTTGCTGTGAGCTATGATGCACAGCACTCTACTGGGCAGGACGACATAAGACTCTGTTTCAAAAAGAAAAAAAAAAAAAAGATCCTTTTAGTTATTTCTCAAGGAATTATAACTCTAGTTTTCTCCTTTTTGAGGGTTCCTAATTCCTAATCATCCATTAGATGATTACTATCATCTAATACAATTTTCATGTTTTACATCTGAAAAGGAAATTTATTTCAAAAACAATAGGAACACACTTGATTTTACAATTTTTCTTTCTTTTCTTTTTCAGGATAACAAAGATGATGAGAGGGTTCCTGCTTTGAATTTATTGATCTGCTTGGTTAGCAGGTATAGTTAAGTAATCCTTGACTTCTTCCTCATTTGCTTATCAGTGAGGGTAGAACACATTTAATTTTATTGCATTTATATTCCTTTAATTGCCTGTATCCTTTATTTTCAGTTGGAGCAAATTTTTTTTAGTACATGTTTTACTTTATTTCTTTCCTTTTTTCTTTTTTTGAGACAGAGTTTCAAGCTGTTGCCCTGAGTAGAATACTGTGGCGTCATACCTCACAGCAGCCTCCAACTCTTAGGCTTAAGTGATTCTCTTGCCTCAGCCTCCTAAGTAGCTGGGACTACAAGTGCCCACCATAGCACCTAGCTATTTTTTTTGGTTGTAGTTATCATCATTGTTGTTGGGTGAGTCCGGGCTGGATTCAAACCCACCAGCTCCAGTGTATGTGTCTGGCGCCCTAGCTGCTTGAGCTACAGGCACCAAGCCTATTTTATTTCTTATATTGAAATTCTACCCAGAATTTATTTGTAAACTTTTTCACATTATTTTAGGTCTCTTCTTGGACATATTTTTGTTCCATTGATCAGGATGTTAATCTCTGCTAACACCTATCTCCTCTATTGGTAATAAGGAATTAATGAGAGGATACACATTGCTCTAGGCACTTTATGTCCAATATCTCTGATCCTTCTAACAGCTCAGGGTTGTTTTTTGTTTTGTTTTACTTTTACAAATTATGACACGGGTTCAGAAAGGTTATGTAGTCAATGGTTCAGTAAGCAGTAAAACCAGCAACTTAAACTTACTTCTGACTGCTGATCTACAGAGGTTTCACAGTATTCTGCAGTTATGAAAGGAAAAAATATTCAAGTATATTTGTCTTTTTTTTCCTTCAAAATGTTATATAAAAATGGCAAAAGGATTCTAATTATAGGAAGACTTACAGAAGATTTAAATGTTTAGAAAAAGCATAAGGCCCAGTGGAGTGGCTCACACTCAAAATCCTAGCCCTTTGGTAGGGCAAGGTAGGTTGACCAGTATAAGCAAAAGCAAGACCCTATCTCTACTAAAAATAGAAAAGCTAGCCAGGTGTTGTGGCAGGTACCTATAGTACCAGCTATTTGGGAGGCTGAGGCAAGAGGATCTCTTGAGCCCAAGAGTTTGAGGTTACTGTGACCTATGATG